AGATCATGCTGAGGACCTTCTAAGCTATGTGAGTGCAACCATATACTGTTAGATTCCTACCATATATTCATCATCTCCAAAGTGACGAACTATATCACCAATCTTGATAATCCATTGATGAATGTTGCAGGCTTGGAATCAGTGGAGAGATGGCACACCCGTGGAACTGATGGATCCAACAGTCAGAGATTCTTACACCAGAAGTGAAGTGATTAAATGTATTTATATCGGTTTATTATGTGTTCAAGAAGATTTTGAAGACAAACCTACCATGGCATCAATTTTTCTTATGCTCAACAGTAACTTAGTTACCATGCCACCGCCTCACCACCCTGCATTCTATTTTCGCAGCAGAAGAAGTTCAAGCATGCCAAAAGATATGGATTTTTATCACTCTGAAAACAAGTCAATTCCACTTTCTATAAACGAAACATCTATTACTGAACCCTATCCCCAATAGAGAGAGTAAGCCACAAAATGAGATGAACTCATAGAAAGCGAGCAAGTCGATGCCATTGTTTGGGAAATATTGGTTAAAAATTTCAATTATTGTAGGCCAGAGTGATCAGATTCATTACTTTGTTTTGTTTCATCAAAATTCACTCTTCTTACGTTGTGCTATATAGGGATGTTCTTAAGGAGTTAAATCATACATTGGCCATATCAAAGATTTTATTTTGTAACCATGAATTTGTAGTATAGTACATCTATAAATTAAAAATGCTGTGAAAATTTAATTCTCGTATTAATGTGTGCGGTAACTCAAATTTCATTTCATTTTGTGAACTGTGTTATAAGTGTGAGATTTAGATATATATTTTTATTTTTTTGCTACAGGGTATCAAGGCTTGTGTTGACTACTTTGTCAAACTTTGAGGCTAATCACTATGGCATGAGGTTTAGATATTTATTAAATTTAATACTTATAACTAGATTCATTTCTTAAATATCGCGCTTAGGAAATGAAAAATATTGGCATAACACGAACTCAAAAGTAATATTCTGAATTAGATCATATTGGGGTTGAATATTAGTATATATATATTTCATATATTTTATGAATTTAAATTTTAAATTTAAATAATTAATTAAAAATATCAATCCATGCTCAAATAAGGCCTAGTTGCAATTCTTTTGTACCCAAACGCATATTGGATCATTAAATGGGTATGGCCGTCTAAGGCCCAACTTCAGGCCATTTGGTAAAGATCGAAGAGTCCATCAAACAAGTTTTAGAAGGCAATATTCATATTCACTACAATAATCACCTAGTCTTTGCTGCTAAGGAAAATAATAAACGAGACAGATTAATACGAAATATGGAAAATATGTTCTTAACACAAGAAACTCATTTAACCAAATATTATATGAAGAAAATGTCTATTTTTTGTTTGTTATCTAGCACGATATGAAGTGTTGTAGAATTAAATAGTTTTGATTTAGTTTTAGGAGGGTGGAGATTAAATAGATTTTAAACTTATGAAGGATCTAGTTGTAGTAGTTCTAATTCACAAAAGAGAGGTCCTAGTTCTAATGTTTTTAATACCCAGAATATCTGTTGATCCAACTATGACTCAAACATGACAAGATTCAAAATGACATGATTCAAGTATTCTT